ATACCTTTATACCCCCACTTTTATTACCATTACCCCTTTCTCTTTCCTACTTTTTCATTTACCCACTACTCATTACACCTTTTACACTACCCCTACTATTTTCCTCTTAAAACTCGTGCCAAAGCCTAAGGGGACTTATATTAAAGAACGGAGGGAGTAGAAAATAGTAAGAAAGTAAATTAAAAATATAGTTAACGTTTACAAAGAGAAAATATGATCACTACGAATTAAATTTGTGATAAAATTAAAAAGAATGCATACAAATAGTTTAATTAACATGATACAAATAGTTTGCCAGCCAGATCGATTTGATAATCGGTCACAGAATAGTCGAAAGCTGTCTTACGCCTATCCAAAATTGCACATGCATATCCACACCACCAAACTAATTTCTTTATTATTTCCACATGTTCACGTAACAATACGTTTGCTATGTCTCGTTTCCATGAAATATAATGTCCCGTCTCTAAAACGGTGTTGTTTCCAGATTAATAACTCCGTATTATATATACAGACTTGCTTTGTGTACACGACCAGGGCCGGATCCAGGATTTTGTGTCAAGGGGGCGAAATTTTTTCATTGGTGTAGGGGTAAAAAAAATTGCTAGTGTAGGGGTGATTTTTTTCCCACACGTATAGGCGTATAGCGGTGCAAAACTTTTTTGCTAGTGTAGGGCTCTGCGGCTATTTTTTATTTTAAAAAATGCATTTTTTGAAAGTTTTTTTTAGAGATAAAAAATGCATTAATACACGTAATATATACGGTACAACCGGCTGTACCTAGAGCCGGTTTTTTTTGTAATTAAAATCAACTAATAGAGTAAAGGTTAGGTTAATGGGAGCTACTGCTTTCTTTTTTCGGCCGTCACTCATCCTTTAAAATTTTTCAATTCTTTTTCGTTGATGACTGTTGGCTTGCTGCTACGCCTTTACAGATTACTCCTCTTTCTTGTTTTTTTGTTTTCTCTTTTCTTCCGTAGCTTTTCACTTTCTTTCTTTTCACTTTTTTTCGTCGCTTTTCATTTCATTTCATTTCATTTGGTGTTTTCTTTTTTAGTTCTTCCTTTTCTCTATTTTTTGCTTTAACATGCTTTAATTTTTTATTCAATTACTATGCAAATGTATAATAATCTAAAATACGGAGTATGATTAATGTTTGAGTTTGTTTTTCCTTCTTTTTAGAATCAACCATCTGATTTAAGTTTTTTAATTTATGCATTATAAGATATTTCAGGTATTAATGTTTTGTTTCCTATTTTTTATTTTAAAATGAGTATTTGTTAGTTTATTAAATATTACTCTGTATGTGTTAATTACTAACGTGAGTTTTGTGTTATTCTAAAATGAGTATAGTGTATAATTAATGTGTATGAGTAAATATAATAAAAACAACATGACTATATTATTGCATATTTCAAAAGTAGCATATTGTATTAGATTCAAGTAAGAATTAATTACAAATATGAGAGCACAAACCATGATATTCAATTGCATGTTTTTAATACTCAATAGAGGATATTTGATACTCAATAAAAACGTCTTGATGCTCGCTCAACTAAAAAACTTATGATTGTCATACTAATACTCATTTTATAATTTATGAATGCTCAATCGGTACTCAATTGCATGTTTCTAATACTCAATAGAGGAGTTTTAATGCTAAATGAAAAATGTCTTGATGCTCAACTAACAAAGCTTATTATTTTCATATTAATGCATATTTTGTAAGCTACATATGCGCAATCGATACTGATGTTATGCTCATTTTTAAAATGTAATATCAATGCATATTTCAAAAGTATCATATTGCATTAGATTCACATATTGAACTTCATAGGGATTGATTGTAAATATAATTTAATAAGTTTCTATAAAAGAAAAAATATAAAAAAGAAAGTGAATTAAAAGATATGAAACATAGATTATGATGTTCAGTATCAGACTGCTAATACTCAATATAATAGGTCTAGTGCTAATTAAAAGTTCATTAATGCTCATTTAACAAAAAACGTTATTTTCATCTCAATATAGGAGGTTTGATGCTCAATGAAAATGTTGTTACGTCCAACTGACAAACATTATGATTTTCATATCAATGCTCATTTTGTAATTTACATACGCTCAAATTGTACTCAAGTTATGCTCATTTTTAAAATGTCATAACAATGCATATTTCAAAAGTACTATACTACATTAGATTCACATATTGAAATTCATTTATGAGTTTTTATAAAAGAAAAAAATAAGAAAAACAAAGTGAATTACCTATATGAAGTTGATATCACAATACTCATTTATCGACTCTTAATGCTCAGTAGAATACGTCTGATGCTCATTAAAAATGTATTAATGCTCATATAACGAAAACCGCGATTTTCACTGAAATTACAAAAATGCCACCATTTTTTAGTTTTGATATCAGTTTTCTTGTAATAACACGGTGCTCATTATTTGACGACTAATACTCAGTACAATTGGACTATTGCTCATTAACAATACAATAATGCTCATTTAGTAGAAACACGATTTTTACATTAATTACAAAAACGCCACCGAATTATTTTGCTATTTTTCCCTTGGGCCTGTTACTGGGCCGGCTGTACGGTGCTCACCGTACAGCCGGCTATACCATATACATACTCATTAATACATAGTTACATACATGACGACATTCAAATCTTTCACATTCTAAGTTTAGACAATGGAAAATAACTTTGATTTTGTAATTGAAGTGCTCTAGAAAAAAGTATTGATATATTAAAGTGTAAGAAATAGCAAATCAAAGAGAAACTATTTGAAAATAAAAAAGGATATACTACGGGGTATAATATTTTCTCAAATTATTTGAATATAAAAAGTTTAAAATGTATACATCCACCAATACTTTTTAAATAACTTATGTTTTGTTTAATCACATGAATCTTATCGGAATAAATGATTTATTTTTGAATTGTAATTTTTGTCTACCAAGGAGGATGCTCGTGAGTCACGATAAGTTTTCTTGAAATTACAATAATGTGTATGAGATTATTATTTTTAGAATCATATTATGTTGCAGATTCATATGTATGGTGCATATTATATTTATATTATTGCTAAAATAAGTGAAAGTTTATTATGTATGCAATAAATTGTATTTAGAAAGTAGAAGTAAATTGATTGTGTAATTTAATGTTAAGTGTCATCAACAAACATTTATATTTTGGATTCAATTCACATGATTTAAAATTGTTTAACTAATGTGTCTGATAATTAAACATTACAAAACCAAGAATGTTTATATACTAATTATCCTAAATCTTGAATAATGAGTTACTCACTTACTCTATTGTTTGTTTGTTTGTTTGTTTGTTTGTTTGGTTGGTTAAGTTATGTAAATTATTTTAGATGCTATATAATTTTTTTTTGAAGCAAGATGCTATATAAAATTTTGAAAACTAAAAGTTAAGGGGGGCGAACACACACACACACACATATCTAATTAAAGCATAAATTTTTTATGAAAACATTACATATATCATAGAAAATTTTATAAGTCCAGGGGGGCGATCCCCCCCGCACCCCCCCCCCCTTAAATCCATCCATGTACACGGGCACACGGCATTATACACGTCATTGTAGATCAGACGACGGTCAAATTGCCTGTATACAGAGCATTTTTCTAATCTATATATCGAGCAATGCTCTTAAGCATGTAAGGTTCGAGTCGTTCAACGTGGCATTGATGCTAAGTCCCTAATTAAATTCTAGATGAAATTAGTCCCGAGTCTATGCGTCAAATTAAGGATGTTTTTACTTGGACAGATACAGTCCCAGATCATATCATAATAGACCAGATTAAATTTAAATAGATCAAACTAGACCAGATTTAAACACACCAGATCAGATTTTGATAATTATTTAATACACAAAAACTAAATATCTAATAGTCCAAATCAGTGTAGATCAAACCAAATTTCGACAGACTAGACAGACCACCAAACTAGAAAATTTCGATCTAATTAAAAACATCCTAACAACCTTTAAAGGCACGCATTGTATATTCGTATTGATAATTGATATTTATATTGGTTCAATAAAAAAGTTAACAACCTTTTAATGTTTTAAAAGAAGTATTTTATTTTTTAAATAAATTGAATTTGTGAATGGCTAACTAGTTTCACAAAACAAGGTAATCAATTGATCTTCATCATAGATATTAGTCCTTGATCAATTGCACTAACCTCGTGCTCTCAACTCCTATGTTGCTGAAGCTGCATGTATTTCTATACTTCTGGTTCTGAATTGGACAACAACACTGTTGGTTAAGTTGTCGCTTAGGAACATGCTTCTGATCCTAGGTTAAATGTGTAACTCGTGGTTCACCTCCTCTAATCATGATCACCCGCGGCATATACTACATCACCATAGCTGGCCTGGTCACTTTGCAAACTCCACATTTATTTCTCAATAGATCATAATAATTCAAAATTTGAAGCATAACTTTGAAGGGTAGTGTTTTTTTGGATTTGGCATGAATGTACTCATGAGTTATTAATTCATGATCCAAGTTCATACTCCCTCCGTAACATTCATATCTTCCCACTTTCCTTTTTTGGACGTAACATTTATATCTTCCCATTTCTAAATCTTCCCATCATACCCTCAATAATTTAAAAAATAATACACTACTACACCTACTTTTTTTGGATTTATCCTTCATTCCATCACATTATTTCACCATCTTCCCATCATACCCTCAATAATTCATACCCCATTTCACTATTCTTAATCTCACCCACTTTGGAAGTGGGAAGATATATGTGATACGGAGGGAGTATGATATGTTTGGTCTAATCAAAGTGAGACAGAATAGACAACCTACAAATGGTCAATAATATACATGGTAGAATAATAAAGGTCAGATCATTGCCCTAAGAGCTAGCAATAAGTGGCCTTGATGACCCCCACTAGTGTAGAGATTGACTTGCACTTTAGTATTCCAAACTTCACCCGCAAATCTCAAGCATAATAACACAAAAATAATCTTTGATTGGTATTTTCAATTTCTCAAACCAATGAAGTGCTCAAACTCTCCAAGCTCTTTCATACACTACACAAGTTTCATTTGATTTGTTTTTTTTTTTGAAAATTCATTTGATTTGTTGTGTCTCCATTTCTTAATAACGTATAATGATTAGATCATCAACTTATGCAAGCACGTTACCTATCTTTACACGAAAAAAATGTCGATGCGACATTTTTTGAAAATGTAGGTGTAGAAAAAAGTACACAATATTTAAACCTTGTGGCGTCTTTTTTGTCCCTCCCGGACATTATTTTTATAAAATTACTCCCTCCGTCCCTGAATTATCTTCAAATTTTCCTTTTTCGTCCGTCCCAAAATTATCTCCTCTTTCCCTTTTTGGTAAAGAATTTGTGGTTCACAACCATTCTTACACATTCTTACACATTTCTCTCTCCTCTGCACAACTCTCCACCACACAAATAGGGACGGAGGGAGTATATTTTTTGACATTTTTTTTATCTTCCCCTAACTTTGGATAAAAAATTGTCAGCGCAATTCTTTTTGAAATGTGTACACAAATTATACTCGATCCATACAAGTTTTTCCCCTTTCTAAAATATTTTTGTATGTAGCGGCCGTCTCCCTTCTTCGTAGGGTTGAGATTTTCCGCTGCCCCCATCAATATAGGGTTGGAGCGACAGATTTTACTGATTTTAAGTGTTCTAACGCTGGAGATTGCAACTACGTCGGAGGAGATAGTGTTGGCAGATGAATGAGATGCGGCTGATGAGAGGTTGTATCGAGGTGGGATCATGAAGCCTTGGTTGGCCATTCCGACGGTGGTGGAGTTAGTATTCACCCATATTGTAAGAGTTCGTCCTCCTCCGGAACCACCTCCATATCAGGCAGAGTTTTGTGGAAAGATTTTATTTCGGTATTATTTTCTCTTTAGCAGCACTTCTTTCTGTTTTAGTCTGAGTAGATTTGTTTTGAATGTTTGGATTTTCGGAGTTCTTTTGATAGGCAGGGTTTCGGTTCTGATCGTTTTAGGCCTAAATTTGTCCGTTTCAGGTTTAGCGAGTCGTGTTGCTTTGTATGAGGTGGATGACTCTAAGTCTACTCCTAAGGTTCATGATTGAATCTGTAATTTCTGTCTGAAAGTTATTTTGTATGTGTTCTCGGTTTTAATATAACGACCGCTCTTTTATGATCAAAAAATAATTGTGTATGTGGTAGGATTCATTGTCTAAAACTTTGGATTTTATTCAGCTGACATTTTTTTATCCGAGGGTTAACATTGAAAAAAGTTGTGCTAAAAAAATTTACGACTAACTTAATTGTCTATGACATAACATGAGAGACAAAAATTTTAAGTGCGAGGGATTTTAAAATGTACGTGTATAAAAGTGTATAATGTTTTGTATCTTTGATACATTTTCAATATTCTTCGTATCGACATTTTTGGCTATGAGCTAACTTCAGACACAAAAAATTTAGGTGTGAAGGAATTTGAATATGTGTACAAAATGTATGATTATTTTTACCACGTCTAAAGTTAAACCCTTAACCGTGTCAAAACTACAAGAATTAGCACTGTTAGTTCAACGGTGACAACTCCGGTACCTTTCTAAAAACAAGGGTACCGTACCTATCATTCATTTGATTGGACCACATCACTTTATCAATTTTAATTTAGATTTAAATAATTCAACTGCTAGCTTTTCATTGGTCCATATGGACAAAGGTATGGTACCTTATGGGTACCATAGAAACTACCATTTCAATTTTAACTGCGGGAACCACATTTGGGATGTTCTTAAATGGATTGTAATTTTCAGGACTAGTCTAATCTGGTCTCTTTAAGTATGGTTTGGTCTAATAGAATAATAAATGTATGTTCTATATATGTATATTTTACAACGGTGAAGTTTTATCTGATCTGATCCAATCTAGTTTGGTCTTATTTGGGATTGAAACCAGTCCAATTAAAACATACTTATAAATATTCTAACAATTGGATACAACATTTACAAAATTGAATACACATGAACTACATTTCAATTTGAGCAATCAACGAGGGACTAAAAGTGTTTCTCCACAAAAAATATCTTTAATAACAATTCATTCCTTTTTTACCAAAATCAAGAAATAAAAATAGGAGGAAAATATGAAAAACAAAAAACCGTGGGATGGCTAGAGGGTGCACCAATAGAAAGAAAAAAAAGGTAAAAATGTCATGCTAACCTTTTGTGGGACTTTGTTTTCTGGTCAGTTATTTGTTTAATTGTTTTTGTTAGTAAATGCACTCATGTGATAATTTTTTAAAACAATGGTTTAAATGATGATTTCACAATACGTATTAGGACGTATTTAATCTTTTTTCCTTTCTCCTTGATATATTCTTTTCAAAATATGCAAAGTTGATAGACATCATTTTAATTGACAAACACCATCTCGTGCGGAGTCTCCAAAAATTGAATACTCCCTCCGTATCTTAAAAATCTTCCTACTTTCCTTTTTCGTCCGTAACAAAAAAATCTTCCCAATTCTAAATCTTCCCATCATACCCTCAATAATTCTTACAATAATACACTATTACAACTACTTTTTTTGGATTTATCCTACATTCCACCACATTATTCCACTATTTTCCCATCATACCCTCAATAATTCATATCATCTTTCACTATTCTTAATCTACCTACTTTTGAAATGGGAAGATTTTAAAGTTACGGAGGGAGTATTTGGTAGTTACTTCATTTTAATTAACAAACATGATATCTCATGTGGAGTCCATATGTTCATAACTTGGAATTTGATGCATGAACAAGAACACATCTTCAAAGTGTTGATTGTACGGTTGACTCAAATGTTTATGTGGAAGAGATTCTTAGAATTGTACGCACTAAGTCACATCGATCTAATGTGAACACTAATTGACATCGGTTGAATGGAATATGCACTCACCAAACTTACTTCTCAACCGTCAAACTGACCGTACTAGTAATTGTAGGAGAACATTATTTGTGTAATAAACTTTTTCAGCCAAAAGAATACGGAGTACATATTGGAAGAATATACTTGTTATTAAGTTATCAAGTAACAAGAGACAAACAAGGCGATTTCTCTAAATATGTGTGCAATGCATCTGTAAATATGTGTTATTAACATCTTTGTATAATGTTGTTATTTTAAGCTACTACACTTCAATTAAAATCGCTCATTCCAAAGGGCGGAACTCTCTCTTCTCTCTAGAGAGAGGATTACTAGTGGTCGTCTCTCCTATTTGTAGGGATTGAGATTTTCCGCTGCCCCTATCAATATGGGGTTGGAGCATGCAATAGATTATACTGATTTCAAGTGTTCTAACACTTGGGATTGCAACTACGTCGGGGAGATAGCATTGGCGGATGAACGAGGTGCGGCTGGGAGATTGTATCGAGGCTTGGATCATGAACTCTTGGTTGGTCATTCCGACGGTGGTGGAGCTGGTTTTCACCCATATTGCAAGAGCTCGTCCTCCTTTGGAATCACCTCCATACCAGGAAGAGCTTTGTGGAAAGATTTTATTTTAGTGTTATTCTCTCTTTAATAGCAATTGGTTCTATTTTAGTCCGAGTCGATTTGGTTTGAATGTTTGGATTTTTGGAGTTCTTTTATAGGCAGGGTTTCGGTTCCGATCGTTTTAGGCCTAAATTTGCTCGTTTCAGGTTTAACGAGTAATGTTGCTTTGTATGAGGTGATTGACTCTCTAAGTCTACTCCTAGAGTTCACTTTAAAAAATGATGATTTTATTCAGAGATAATATAATTATCCTAGGTATGATTAAAACTCTATCACTTTCTCAATCTATGACCTAAGTAGTTTCTTCCCGAAATAATATTTAAATTACTAATATTTAAATAACTTCGTAATAAATAGATAAATAAATATATTTTATGGACTAATATACCCTTTAGGCTATCTCTAAAACCCTAGCCTCTAACCTCCAACTGCCTTCCCACTGCACAGCCACCAACCGTCTGCCACCGCCATCTAGCCACTTGCCCCCCCCCCCCCCCCGCTGGCTCAGGTTGTTCTCTATGATCTCTGTCTCATTCTCTGTTGACTGGGTCTTCGCCCAGAGTTCCGATGGCGAGGAATCCGCGAATTAAACATGTCGGAGAGAGCTTTGGTGGTCGTAGTAGTGATACTTCAATTCGTCTGTGCGGCTGTAGGTGGACACTTTTGTGTATCAAGTGATTTTGTGGAGGAGGTTGATTGTGTGGTTGTGATTTTTCTTGTAAAATACGTTGTATATATGTCATCCAATCATCTGGTGCCATATACTCGTAATTATGGAGTGCAATGAAATTAACACTCAACCCTATTTTTGTTATTTATCTTTATCTATTTCTTCAGATTAAGGTTTTTGGCATTGAACATGTGCAGTAAACATTGTGATAAATAGTGTCAAATATGGACAGTGAACATGACAATAAATAATGATATACATGGGCAGTGAAAGAATGCATTGACGAGAAGTGCAGTCTAGTAGTGCAATAACGTAGGGCATTAACACCGGCATAAAATACAATATATTTAATTAAACGTAAAATATTAAAATTATTAAATGTCAAAAAATAAAGAATAAAAAAGTCTAAATATATATCTAAAGTAGATGAGGAGAGAATTAATTTTGGTGGAAATGCACTGATTATTACCGAATGTGCAGTAACGACGTGCAGTAACGGAAATATAAAAAGCATTAATTTTAATTGGACGAAATTAGTACAAATATGGGATTTTGTACTAATTAAATAAGGGTATTTTGGTCATTAAACATTTTAATATGAACGAATTTTTATTTATTTTTGGGATTTTCTATCATACAAATGTCTGAAAACTAAGTTAGTCATATTTAGAGAAACTCAAACTTTAATCATATCTGGGAAATTTCCCTTTTATTCATAAGTGAAGTTTTTACAAACGTAAAAATGCACTATCTGAAAAGTGCACTGCACCGCTACAAAAGTGATTTTCTTCTTCTTCATACTCCGTATTTTACACCTTAAAACTTATTTATGTTATTTTCATTTGATCTGTAAGACTGTAACCTATATATATTGCTGTTCAGTGGCGGACCCAGAAAATCAGAGCCACGGGGTCCCTACTCTAATGTAACTCTAATTAATAAAAAAGAAGTAAAATATTAAAGTAGCATAATGCTCCATAATTAATGTACATTTTTTGAAGTACATAATGAAAGATATACATTTGGTTAACTATTTTTTTATTAAAAATATTACACCGTGTGCTCTGTTTTGTAAAAAAAATATATCAAAGTAAATAATTTGTTTGATCTTTCATGTGACACCGATATTCTATATCTGGAATTTTGAAAAATATTCTTTTAAAAGTTCAAGATAATTTAATCCTGTCTTATTTTTAAAAATGTAATACTACGTATAAACTTTATTTTTCTTGAATAAAGGCGCACATTAATTATGTAAAGGTTAAATGTTTATTTAGACTTAATGTCTGAATGTTTTACACTTATATTTAATTGGCCGCACCAAATATTTTTCATCCTTTTCTATAAATTTATTCAGTAGCAAAATAATTTAATCTTACTTTAACATAAAAGATATGTTAAGTTTGTGTATTGTTACAATTATACTATGGGTAGTAGGTTTCCAGATCATACTTGCTCCCAGTCCACTACTTCAACATTTGTGTTCTAATTCAGTGTTTTTTGTATATATACAATAAGTAGTTTATTTTATATAACAAATACGAAGTATATAAATATATATAGGTATTGTTTTGGAGGTCCACGGGTCCCGGGACCCCGTGGGACCCTTAGTAGGTCCGCCATTGTTGCTGTTATAAAACAATTATTTTAACCTTCACATACAGGGTAAGAAAGTGTGCACATATATTGCACATGAATTTAATCTCAAGTGGAGGATCTAGGGGTTCTGTCTTTCATATTTAGTATTAGTACTTATGATAAAATTAATGTCCATATCCGGTCAAAAAGATTTTTTTTTGAAAACATTAAAAAGAAAATATTATATAAAGTGATAATTTCATTAAAGAGCAAATGACAATTGGTGTGATAAATGTAAAAAATCACGGAATTGTGATGGAGCCATTCTATGAGTTAAACATATTGTTGGAACCACTATACT